TTGCAGATAAAGTGTGCTTCACTGGGAGTGTGCTAGCTTACACAAGATTTACAAGTATTGCATGTTTTCATGTATGAAGGCAAGTACTTGTATTTACAATTTTCAGTCAAGGAACTCAGACATAGCTCCGTCCCCAGGAACAGAAGTGAAGATATGGCAACAGGATAAATAAAGTATACTCTGTATGAATATGTCATACATACTTGGTTTAAGAGGTCTTGTACAGTCTGTTGTAATTCAGTCACTATGTCTGTGAGATGTTCCATTGCATTTCCCATTGATTGCTGAGTGTCTGTCTTCTCTTTATCATTTATTTTATTTTCATCCACAGCTGGTGTAAATTTGTCAGATTTCTTAAATCTGAACAGTTGAGTTACAGAATAATCATTGTTATTGCTGCAGTCTGGAAGAAAATATTACAGAAAACTCACATGATTTAAGGACAAGAGAATTTAAAATTTATTAAATACGAAAAAAGAAATTGTAAACATTGTATTGCATTGTTTAAAACACAAACTCAACATTAGACATTAATATACACATACCTTCACAACAATCAGTCCACACTCTAAGATCCATAGCAGTAATTTCTTCACATTTAAGATAGCCTGTAGGATAAGTTGCTTTCAGGAAGACATCCTTTTGTATCCTATTGATATGATCTGAATTCTCACAGATCACACTGGACAATGATGTCTGTTTTATTTGTGTTAACTGAGCTGCCGTAAACACACCAGGATTCTCATACCAAAACCTGCAGAGAAACATAGCAAAACTATTACAACCTTGCCCAAATAATTATTATATATCTGTCACTGTAATGCCATAAGTTACAGCATGTCGTAATTTTGCAGTATTGCATGAGTTACAATGTATCTACTTCCTACCATATTAGGAAACATGCATTCCAAATATGGAATGATTATGAGGTATTTCCAAGATGGTAGAAAGTTTCAGAAAGAAATTTTCCACAATCACATATGTGTGGTAGCAATGCATCAGAAAGATTCAGGTTAAGTTTTCAAGATCTTGTACAAACAAACATCATGGCTGAGCAAGGGCGATATAAGGGACATACCAAAGTAGTTATTTAATTCAACTCTTCACTCTACTAAAACACTAGAGAATAGAGGAGTAGAAATAGGCATAGGCATGTTTTTGGTTTGAAATTCGTCTATCAAAAACTGTAATATATATTTTTATGGATTTTAGGTGTATTGTCTAACTTGGAATATTCAAACATAATCCTACAAATGCAATGTTCAAAATTACATTTAAATTCCAAGAGACATCATACCAAAGAAAAGTTGCCTGTCCCTGTATTCTCTAGTGACTTTGACTATACAAAGTTTACCTGTCTCCATCTCGAGTTCTTTGAAATTGTTTTGCAATGATACAAGTAAACGTTGGTCCAAGGATTCCACCAGGAAGAGGGTCTTCCACCATTCCAGCTACCCACAAATCTACATTGCCAGGATGGTGATATAATCTTTCCAATTTATCACGTACGTCCGCATTAGATATCTCATCTTTCAATTCATTGAATGAACTAACCGCTGACATATTACAATACACACGCCAATCATTGTAGCCCGGCAGAGCATGATCACGTCCACGTTGAATATTTAAAGCCGCTAGGTCTAATGCTACATGGTGTACCATCTCAAATAAATGCTCGGTAAGCTCAGTGTTTAAAACTTGCTCTGAATTTAGATCCTTTGCAGGAGTACCAAATAATCCTCGTAGAACCGGATCAATACCGCCCTCATCAACAATTCGATATGGCGAAAAGAATGCACGATGGAGTGGAATATTTCCTTCGGGTATTGGCTGGAAAGTTGAATTAAGTCGGTAGATGACAGGATTTACAATTCCATGTCCAAATCGGAATGCAGCAGTAGCAAATGCATTGATGATAGAAGAATCTGTATTGGGGTTATACCCAGTGTATTCCCCCATCAGTTGCATACCATGTGGTCCCAGGATTTTAGGCAACCAGTGTGTATACGTGATGTGCTGCATCTGAGCACCTACAATCTTACGTGATTCCTGAAATAGAGTCTCCCCATCCCAATGTGGATTGAGATTTAATAATTGAGTGGCAATACGATTACTTTCCCTCATCCATATTGTATGCATTGATAGCAAACCCAACTGTTCATTGGCTCTAGCATCACCAGCTAAGAAGCAAGGGACAGGACTAGCATTCTCATCCCGTAAGCAATCAATTGGTGTATTTCTGTTGAATGGGAGAAGCGGCTTGCCAGATGACGCAACAATATTACCAGTCCTAAGAAGTCCTCTTTCACTTGCGAAGTCACGTAGTTCATCGGTTAGGCTTTTAGAGCTCCCATAAACATTTGATGCATCGATATACGATGTGATTGAGTTGATTTGTTCCCGTGGCATGACTGTATTGAAAAACACCGATGTACTGCCGCTGCCACACACGGCGCTGGATCTAGTGAATTCCATACATGTACTGCGTACTATCCGTGGATCACCCTCCGGAATAGGTATCGGAAAACAAGGAGGTTGATTATCACATGTTTCGTTACATCGCTGTCCATCGATAAATTGTACTTTACTAGGACTGAGCACTGTTAAGTCCAAATCATGGTCTGTGAATTGCCCCCACTGCATTAACATGTGAGTGAATTTCTCATCATTTTCTACTTGAGGTGATGCAGCCACATGTATCGACACAAGCCTTGCACTCGGTTTTGATACACCGTAATAGAGCTGAGAATGATTCCAACCAACCGGGGTGTTGAATCCATTTTCATAAATTGGTTTTAAAATCCTGCTAAAAGCAGTGAGAGCTGACCCCCTAGTGACATGTTGTAAGTTATTACATGTACCGTCATAAGAGCGATACTTTTGATGATAACACATATCAGAACAATTGATAGCAGAGCGATGAGTTGTACAACCAGATAAATTGGCAATAATCTCGAGATGATCCGGGGACACTATGTTATTAAACAAATTTTTATATCCTGAAAAGAAATAAGCAAAATATCAGTAAAAAAATCAAAGACATCTTCGTTAACCTTTTCACCACCACTTCTCGTCCAAATTTGTCTGCACTTTTTTATTATATTCTTCAATATTTCTGGAAATGAACCCTAATTTTGGAGCCAACAGGTAAAATTTGAGTCAATTTTCTGTTTTTACTAAAAAAATTGGCTATTTTTGTGTCAATCTTTGGAAGGGAAGTACAGACTATAAACATATATTTTGTGAATTTGTGACGAAAAGTGGGAAATGGTGGTGAATAGATTAATAATAATTTTCAAAACTTAAAACCAAAATATAGTTTTTAGGATGCATTGATAATAGGTCAAACCAAAGGGTGTATATGTATGTGTAGCAGTTATTTTCAATCTCAAGAAATCTCATGATCTTATGAGTTCCTTGTACATGTCAATCAAACATATTTTCAACAAGACATCACAGAAAATAGTGGACACTCGCAAAGACTTGATTGTGTAAAAAAAAAATAAGCGAAATTAATACTGCATTATAAAAAAATAACCAATAGGCTGTCGCTCAATGAAAGATATCGTAACAAAATGGATAAATTCAACATAGGTCTACCCAAGATACCTACATACCAAGTATCAAAGCAATTGATAAGTAGTTTTCAAGAACAAGTTGAAAATAGCATATTTTACCAAAAAATATTTGTCAAAAATGGAGAATTGAAGATATCATCATAAAATGAACAAATTTGACAGATGTCCACCAAAGGTCCCTACATGCAAAGTATCAAAGCAATTGAAAAAGTAATTTTTCAAGAAAAGGTCAAAAATAGTATATTTTTTTATCAAAAATGACAAAAACACGCAATTCATACTTTGCAAATGAACAACACAACTAATAACGGTCAAGAAAAAATAATCAAGTCTTTAACAGACTTACATTTTTTATTTTATTTTATATTTATTCATTATACAGAGTAAATTGCACCAGATATTGTGTTTAAATATTTTTTCTGTGTCATTTAGCGCTAAGAATCCGTTTTTTGCATTAAAATGGCCACCAGCCAGCCATATTGGAGTGATGTTATTACTTTGTGTCAAGATTGGACAACAACAAACAGTGATCTAACTCTGCTGGATGTCAGCGGAGCAAACAAACAGACTACTTACCCACATGACTAAGATTAACTCTCATCCCATTCTCAACACTTTCATGAATTATTTCTAAAGTAGTCTCAAATATTTCTGCTGCTCTAGCAATCTCAATGGCTTCCGGTGTTGGAAATTTAAACAGCGTCAATAAATCACTTGGTGTTCTTGGCTTGGATTTATCAAAGAGTGAGGTTCTAGTCGAGTTGAAAGCTCTATCCACATTGGCAATGGCTTCATTGATTGACTGGTTTACAATGTTGTCTCCTGGATACTCAGTATTCGCAGATACTGTCAAAAAAAACATATTTACATTAAATATTGTTACCACACTTCATTTTATTCACACAATAAATGTAGCAAACACTGTAAAACATGTTGAAAAAGTGACATGCAATTTTAGCGAATCGTGGTAAAATGACGTAATAGCGAAATGTTGATTTAGCGAATCACTCTTGTCATTGTTGATTTTCTGTTTTCACAATACGTGTCTGTCGCTTGCCAAAACAGATGCGCAGTTATCACCTCCATAAAAACAAAGAAAAACTATATATCAGTATCACTTCATTTATTTATTTTCATTGAAATAATGACCACAATGAATACATTTTTTTGTGTGTGTTAATTTACTTTTCAATGAAGTGTATCTATCATGTCAGTAACTTTGGGTTGTTTACAAAGTGTGCGCGGAGATTGGTGGCCATTTTGAATTTATAATAAAGTCATTAGCGACATCTTGAATTAGTGAATCAGTTCTCTTGCTTAATTCGCTAAAAAGACGTGCTCGCGAAAAAAACATGTTTTACAGTATGCCAGACATGATATTACTACTGGGGTTTAGAAGCAGGGTTAGGGCTATGCCTAGCCAACACACTGGGGTTGAGAAGCAGGGTTAGGGCTATGCCTAGCCAACACACTGGGGTTGAGAAGCAGGGTTAGGGCTATGCCTAGCCATGTTAGCAACATACTGGGGTTGGGAAGCAGGGTTAGGGCTATGCCTAGCCATG